GCTTAGGTTCAGCATGTCCACACGGTTAGGACTTCAGATCAGCGTATTCATTTATAGATGACATTTTACTGTCCATTTCTGTTTTCTTGTCCTGCAAATGCTGCTGGCTGGCAGGACTAAAAATTTCTGTACTGCTCACATCTAGAAGTTATTGTGTTCATATCTTGTAGGCTGTGGGTTTCATACAATTTTCTGTCTTATCCTGGGTTCTCCATGTGTTCCTTTTCAACATAGGGTGTTTTCCCTTACAAAATAATGCTCTGTCACATTTCCTTTTTGGGGTGGGTGGTACTAATCTCTTCTGCTAAAGGAAGAATGGGGTAGCATCAAATGAAGTAAAAAACCCATCACAATTACAAGGTGCAAATTTATGGGGTACAGTAACTAACTGGATCACTCTACCTCAGGAATGGTCTGTCAGAGAGGACTTCAGAGACAGCTAAAGAGAACTGAAATATCAGCCTGAGTAAACCTGCTCATATGAAAAGGGACTGGAAACAGTCCAGTCCCATTTACGACACAAATGGCAGGTGTAGGAAAGGTAGGCAGGAATGTATATAGAAAGAGTGGACAGATTATGCTAGAACTCCAGATTTTAAAAATTACTCATCCAAATCATTGAAGTATTAGTATTACTAAGTTACTATTGAAGTATTACTTCCAATCTACTTAGTATTGGACTTAAAGAGGCCACAAAAACTATCATATTGGCTCAGACAAATGTCTCAGTAGGAAAGTACTACAAATTTATCGACTGCATGTTTTAAACTAAAATTAGTATATTTTTATTCCAAACAGAGTTGGTTTTAAGTAACCGAACAAATTGAGTAGACTGTGTTGCATCTTTTCAAACAATTTTGAGCACTTGTCTGTGGCATTTTAATTAGGAAAGGAGAAACATAAACTTCTACAGGCTTGCTCTGATTTTGGGTGGTGTTACCTATATATAACTATGCTAGTCAGCTCTTCTTGAGGCAACGGGGGCAGGGGGGAGAGTTGACCTTGTGATTATGTTAATGACCATCATATGGCAGCTCTTTGAAAAAATGTTTTTTAGAAAAGATGCTTCCCATTTGTCTGGAAAGATATGGATTGACTGAGGATTAAGGACGGATTGCCTCTTCCTGAAATATATACTGTAACTTTTTTGACTGCAACTTGTCAACACAATTAGAAGAATTAAACACCCAGTTCTGCTTTTGGGAAATTGTGAGTGATAGATGTGATGAAAACAAGAATGTGGTAAATCTGTTTCTTGGTAGGGAAGAAATTAAGGAATTGGAGAAGAAGAAAATTTTAGTGTAATAAAGTTAGAAATGTAAATCTGAAGATAAAAAGCTACAACACATAATATAGATAATAACATATAATAACGTTGGTGGTAAAACACAAAATTCCTTTCTTTTTAGAATTTGGGAGAAAAATACCTAGCACATTTGGCTGAATATTTTTTCTCGTTGAGGAGCTGCTTTTAGAAAAACCTGATTTTTCTTACAAACACTTGCAACATGAAATTACTTGAATTATATCTGTTCCTTGGTGAATGGGTAAACACCCAAATAGTAATTTTTATTTCAATGGGACTATTCATACAAATAATTGTGTTTAAGTGGGAGTGAAAAAATGACAAATTTCTTCTTTTGCCATTTCTCTGAATAGCTTCTCCTTTTTTAAAATTGACTTTAAGTGAAACCATCTCTCTCTCACGCTACAGTTCTCTTTTAGCTGTTCCAAGGATTAGATAGAATGCATTGGCACACTTAAGACAATACCATTAGCAGCAGTCTAGCTTGGTCTTCTGGCAGAGACTGTCAGCTCTGAGGTGCATGTTATCATTAAAATATTATATACACATACTGTACTCTTTCACCTGTACATGGAGAAAAATATCTGGCAGCGGGACAGGGCCAACCTAGAACCAGTGTCTTCCTGTCCCTCTACTAAATCTTCCTGATTAGTACACTATAAGTCCTAGATACTTTACACATGGAGGTCAGGTTGCCAACCCTCCCCATAGTAGTATTGCGTCTGGGTACCAGCAGTGGTTTCATTTAACGCATTATGGGGGGAAATCTAGCATTTTGAAATCAGTTCTCTGGAAATCATGAGCAAATTCTCTTGATCTCAGATCCATGGATTACGTTGTAGGAATTACTGCTACAGCCTGATCTCAATGAGAGTGGTCTACAAGCAATTCAATTTTGCAGCAATGGTTAGTTATTAAATTAGCTTAGCTGATTGAGGCATGGTTCTAATAACGCCAATGCTGCAGGTTCAGTCCCTGTTATGGGCCATTCACTTAAGAGGTCAATGAACCTCTTGTGAAACTTTTGGGTCCCTTTCAACTCAGAATATTCTATGATTTAGTTGTAAAAATAGTTATGATGAATTCCAGTGATACATGTTTTTGTTTGCAGAATGAGAACAACTCTGCAGTTACTACTTGATATTCATTTAAAGGAGCATTATTACGAAACAGCTGTCCCATCTCTTCTGCCAAATCCTTGTTCATGTGCCCTGCTTCTGTATTGTGCCACCACAACTAGCTGCACAGCCTTATAGAAAACCGTATTGATAAACCAATCAGCTGAAAATTCCTCTTGTCCCCCTGTTTACTGTCATTTTTAGTTGAATCAGGCTCCCAGCCTTGTTACTTTACAAATCCTTTACCAGCACAACATAGGGATTGGTGTAAGAGCAGCAACAAATGAGCAGTGGAACAGGATCTGGTTTGGGGGGAAAGATGTGGACTTTTCTGGGAGGATAAATTTAATCATATACTTAAATTTAGGCTTCTAGTTTAAACACATTCAGAGTTCTTTTTCTATGGACATTTTTCAGTTTTCATTTAATTTGCTGTTTTCCTCCAACATTGCTACCAGTAAACATCCTTACATTTGATCTGAACAGAAAGCACCAAAAGGAAACAACAAAGTTTTTTTTTTTAATATCTTAACTTCAGTAGATTTTTTTTTTTATTACTCTTGCCTTGGTTTTTTCAGCTCTAATTAGTTCTGTGGAAAGATTACAGATTGGTTTACCTGAGTATAAGATTTTGTTGAATAGGCAAGTAGTACTTGTGATTAGAATTTGGGGAAAAAATAGAGTTCCTTTGTAAGTTTTTTCACAGTTCTACTGGGATAGATAATAATCCTTCACCAGTGAAAAAATATTCATTCTTGTTTCAAGGGGAAGTAAATAGATTGGCCATTAGCAATGAATTGAAATTATCACTTTTATCCAAGTGAATACACTGCTCTTGTAAAACACTGGTGATCTAGCTGTGTTTAAAATCTGTGTAAAAAGTAGCAGTTTTGCATCTTCTTTTGGCACTTAGTGTACAATGCATGATACATGATGCAGTTAGTGATTCCTGAAAAACTTACTAGACAACATGACCACTTTTAAGCACAGAATACTAATTTTTAAACCATTATATCACGTACATTTCCATAATATTTTTCACCAAGTATTTAATGTGTTATAGTAGAATAATTACTTTCCCATATTAAGTGATTTACTGAAAAACTAGAAATAATAAGATGCTGTATAAAGTCTACTGCAAAATTCCTGTTATTCCACACTTGGATTTCAGCCAATAGACTTAAAATAATTTTAGATTGTAGACTGCTTCTCGCTTTGGAATATAAGCATATATAAAGGCACATACATGGGACCAGATCAGCAGATAATGTGAAGCAATGCAATTCCATTTAACTCAGTCATTTATAGCAGATGGGGTTGTGCCCATATGCTCATACCTATGTGTATGTACTTGTAACACATACACATGTACTTATGTGTGACCTAAAATCGTGTGTGCATGTAACAGTGTACTCAAATGCAATTGCTTTCTTCTGCCAGCAGATTTTTCATTAGACTGGAAAAATGGAAAGCCTTCATGTATTTTAGATATCAATTATTTCTGATTATGAGAGGCACATGATTTTCCACATCCCTCCTGATTTTTAGGGTGTCCCTTGCTGAAACAGCACCAAAGTTATTTTTCTGAAGGCCATCAATGATAGAAATAAAAGACATGAGGAGAGGAGGAAAGATGGAAGTTTAATTTCACCGAATTTGTCCATAGAGAATACACACAGTTAATATTATGACTTTCAAAATGTGGTATGCTATTGAAAAACTATTTATAAAGCTTTGGTATGTACATAGTGCCTGGTATGTAAAATCTGCAGAACTGTGATTGAATTGGAAGAGACCTTCACTTTGCAACAGGTACAAGGTGTCAGGGCAGGAGCTGGCTCCTTTTCCTCCACTGGCTGCCATTTTAAGGGAGAGAAGATACTGATGGGCAGAAAACTTTTGAGCAACTTTAAAAGGAATGCTGATGGTATGAATTGCAAAATCTTTTGAAGGGAGAAAAAGGTTATCCATAAAATTTCAGGTGCAATGGGTTAAAAAATGGAAGAGGATGATAGACAAATGATTAAAGGAAGCACCTCAGGAGGCAGAAGCTCCTTCTCTCCTCTGTGTATGTAAACAAACTACTGCTTTTCCAGAGAGCTGTTGTTTCCATACTTGAAACTCTTGTTTGTTTCTTTCTTTAATTTTTTTTATTGTGGAGTTTTTTTCAGCTTGTTTGTTGTTATGCTTTAAAAATATACCATGAATTATTCCCAAGTGGACAACAAACCTAATAATTTTCTAAGCTACACCTTAATAAAACCAATATAATTCTGTCAAAATGAATGGATAGAATAGTACCATTATTTTGCAGAGTGTTAAAAACAGCTTTGTTCATGCAAAGGCAGGATATCTGTTTTTCTTTGAGCTTCCTATTATCTATATTAAGCCTCTAGGCTACTTGTTACTTCTATTGTGGCTGCTAATGTGTGTTCCTGTTTAGCACTGGTATTATCTCTTGCATGGTCCAGAGATACCTTGTTCTGCCTTGGTGTTAAGTGCAATAAAATTTTGTACCTTCAGACCACCATAAATGACACAGAAGAGGATGATTCATCAACAGCAACTGCTTTAATGGACCTCTTTAGCATGACGGGGTATTATGTGACTCAGATATTACAATGTAATCCGGAAATGTACCACTGAAGAACAAACTGCAAACCCTAAAGAAAAAGAAGGTATCCAGGTCAGTTAAAGATTGATCTCAATCTGATCACTGATTAGAACCAACGCTTGTTTCCAAATCAGAATTAACAGGTCTTTCTTTGTGCTCCTGACTGGCTTCCTGCTAGTACTACACACTGGATCTTGGTTTTTGCAGCACTGTCACACTATTCATAATGTACAAAGTTGGTAGGACCATAATGGGGTCATGTGGTCCAACTCCTTGCTCAAGCAGAATAATCTCAGAGCACAGGATTGTATACAGATGGTTCTTGAATATCTTCAGTGAGGGAGACTCCACAAACTCTGAGGGCAATCCATGCTAGTGCTTGATCATCTGCACAGTACTATGTTCCAGAAATGCTCAGCACTTTCTTTAATCTGTCCTTTGTGTGTGTTTGATGCACCTACATTTTTCAACATCATTGCTTCCCATAGGTCTTTACCTCCTGTCCTTTTCCTCCCATTTTTCTCTCATTTTACTCATGGTGTACCTCAGGGTTAGTTTTTCTTCCATGCCTTACTATTTCCAGCAGGTCATCACCTTTTTGTTGAGACAATTCTGGTTTAAAATTAAGTACCACTGGGACATGATGCCTGCTGACATAACTGGGGACTGAAATCCCACAGAGCAGAGGCCAAATTTGATAGATATTTTATAACAATTTTGCTTCTGGAGGTATAGAAGAATAAGAAATTTAAGGGCCAAAGGAAATTTAAAGGATGGAGGATGGCGTTGAGGTACTCCTTTATGATTGTATGGGGCCAGAAAAAATTCAGATTTTGTTGATCATAACAGTTCTCATTAGATACATTGGAATAGAGCCGTGTGTGGTTTGGTTCCTACCATAGGATGAATACTTCTGAAGAGAGTGTCATTTATAGGACAGTAATATGTGGAAAAATTAAGATTATCCTAAGTAAAATGCATTTTTAAAATATACCTCCTGTGAATAAATCCTTTATATTAAAAAACATTTAGAAATCTTGAGAGTCTCCTGTAGCAAGATTCAAAAAACATGTGTTCACAGAACAACTGCAATGGTCCAGGCTTTGCCAGTGGAAACTTTTAGTCATTTCACCCATCTGTAACTGCAGGGGAAAATTACAAATATGATTGGCTGTAGCTGTTCAGATATTCAGAGACAATGCTGAAGAGTTTTCAAGCTAAGCACCAAAGAGTATATAATCACATCTTGAAAAGAAGTTTGTACTTTGCAAGTTCAAATGAACAGCTAAGATTGTTATAGAGAAAATATGTCATTTTACCCTCTTTACAAATTGGTTAATGAGGTACCATTGGAATAACTTTCCAAAGGTCACATAAGTCTGTAGCAAAGCAGTGAACTGAAATTCGCTCTCCAAGGTGCACAGTGTGACAATGCAACACTGTCTTTATTTCTATTCCCACATTATTTATTTAATCTCTGATGATATTTAAAATTTCCTTTTAATTTTAGACAGTATTTAGAAATCTCTTAAAAAAGCCAAAACCCTTAAATAGCCCTCCCAACCTGTTTTCCTGAATGCTTTTCTGTCCCTCAGGTTGCCTTAGGAAATCATGTTATGGTCATGTTTAATTGTATAGGCTCTATTCTCTACAAAGAAAGTAAGCCTTGACATTAGGAAATCTGAGGGGAAAACATTTGAAAGGGAAGAAGGCATTTAACATTGGAAAGATTTGCATGTGTTCAGCATTAGATAGAGAGCTTTAGAGAAAACACATAAGAGTCTGAGCACTCAGGCTTTTCTGGGTTCCCCACTGGGGATGTGATACTGCACTTGGTTAATATGTTATAAACACAAACGGGCTAGCACTTGCTGAATTTACACTGAACATTAAAAGTTTGAGGTTCCAGAGGGAATTCAGAATTCCTCCTCTTAACAGAACTGTTTTTCTCTGGGGAGATGTAACAAGCCACCACTGTGATCAGCAGCAGTGGTTGGTTTCTGCAGGAATAGAAACACTCATTGCTCCACTTGTTTAACCCATAAGCTCTGACTCTACTCTCCAATGCTCTTTGCACGTGATTATTTACTATAGATTGTAAGTCATCCATATGAGATCTGTAAGAAGGGTCTTGTGATAAAAATCAAAATCTGCCCTGCACTGTGCAGAATAATCTTTCTAACTGGAAACATAAATGGTTATTAAATTGTCTTACTTCTTCAATGTAAGATTTTAATAATAAAACTCTTTGGTATTTTTCTTTCTTGCCACTTTGCTAATAGAGTGATGCTTTTGACATATTTTTTAGAAAGGAGAGCATAATCCAGTTGTCCTAAACCATGTTCTACAACTGACAAGAAAATATTTTTGTTGTACATGAAGCTGTAAAAAACAGATCTAAAAAGAGGACATTGGAGTGGGAGTGTGAAAATTTACATTCCCTAAATCCTATATAGCAATCCTAACAACGGCTGTTTTGCTGTGTGCTAACCATCCCAATACTTCCTTTTCAGATGGTTCCCATCTCATACTTTCTACCAAACTACTAGGCATGCTAGGCATCCCATCTATGGGCCGTTGCAATTTTGCTGTCCCTGGGCCCTCTCAGTGCTTACTGGTGAGCTTAATGTCAGGCACTCAGTCAAATCATCAAAAGTTATGTGATGAGGCATCTAAAACCTCAAGTTTTCTGGTGACTCTTCCCTCATGGCTACAGCAGGGTCAGCAGCACACAGCCTTCACCATGCCTCAAAGCAAAAATCTCACCCAACTCCTGCAAAGTCAGAAAACTTGGGCTTATTTGTGTCTAAGGTGAGTTTCACCCCTCATCTCCAATTCACTGGTTTGCAAAGTGCCTTAAAATAGCTCAGCTGTCAAAGCCAATGTATGAACCCCTCGTCACTTTACCAATGAAAATTATTACTTATCTAAAATTTTTAAAGGTGAAAATATATGGCATTGCATAATGGTGTTTGACAGCAAAATGTGACTGCACTAACTGATGTGAGCTTTCAGTGTGTGCTCCTAGAAACAAATGGACTGCTTTCACACATCTGCAGTCTCCAGGTCTGTCTGTGGTTACTACAGTGACTTCTCTTTGTTCTGTACTTGAGTGCTGTAAGAGTCAAGGGCTCATCTGTCATGTGCTATAGATAATCTCAAAAACACCTTAACAGACAACGTATGAACCCCAGGGCTGTTTATATTCATGAAAACTATTCCTCCCACAGAGGTCACATTGAGCAAGATAAACCATGTCATCAAATATGCAGCATACATTGCAACAGGGGTCTGGCATTGCAGACTTAAGAGTTTTTGTGAGTTGTGTCAAGGAGGACTGTTTTTGTCCTTAGCTTGATGAACAGTTTCAAACAGGCAGTGCTCTTGTAGTTCAAATGTAAATGAGAATACAAGTTACAGCTATCCCCACTTTTCTGTACTGAAATGACAAAATGCGTTTTCTCTTACCTGACTGCTTAATACCCAGAGAAGAGCTAATATACAGGTGTCGTGGTTACAATATCTATACAATAAAATAAACCTAATAAAATTAAACATCTGCCTGACAGCAACATTACAGAGGACTGTCTTTCTGTGTTACAGGCTGCAATATGTGCCTGACACATCGTCAGGTCACAGGTTGTATTTGTACCAATGGCAATAAAGATAATATTTAAAACTGATACAGTATTTCATATAAAAATTTTTAAAGTGTTTTCCCCAAAATATTTTATTACCTAATCAGGGGAACAGCCCTAGAAATGATTGTGTGTTTACTGTATAGTACTGCTGTTATCAAAATCTATCAGTTTCACCTGAAAATAAGAATAGGGATAACTAGATACTTGGAATACATCCTACACATCCCACACCCAGTTTTCCCTTGACTTTAATGAGTTTTTGATTAGTTCTTTCCTTATTTGAAGCAATTTTTAAGGCTGCTTCAATATAGCTTCTCACAGGAATGCATATTGATAATTGTTTTGTCTTATACTATCACTATAAATAACTTCACAGCCATCACTGACTCTCTCTATTTCATTTTTACAGAGTTGATATCTAAAATGCAAGTACAGATCCATTTTCTAACAAATATTAAGAGATAGCATCTATCTAAAACTTGTTATGAAGAATTTAGTGTGCATATTTTGCCTCCACATTTGTTTTATTCTGCTAAATAGCCTATGTGGAAAACAATTTACTTATCCATTAAAAAAACAAAACAAAACTACCAAACAAACAAACAAAAAAAAAACCCAAACAAAAAAACCCCCAAGAACAACAACAAAAAACCCCAACCCTGTTCCATTCTGTTTTGGTTTCTGGGGTTCTGTTGTCATTTTATCCTAAAGTGCTGTTTCCTCACATTTGCATCTACCAGCCTTTTTAATGTGATATTCCATTTAAACTGCCTTTTAATTGTATGTGCTGCCTTGGCAGAACATGACTGATGTACTAGCGTTAATTAGGGCTCCAGTCAGCAGCCTATGCCAGCTGGAAACTGAGAAACAAGCGTAAATTATTCTGTCATCAATCAACTCAAAAATGTTTGAATCACTAATTAGTTTGCAATTTGGGTGACAGTTTATCTGACGCAGGCGGTGTCAGAAACTTCAGATCTTAGATGAATAATTTGCCAGCAACAAGCACATATTCCCTGCTTTTAAATACATGAAGGTTTATCTGCATGTTGAAAGGTGGCTCAGCAGTCTTCATTAACTTCCAACTGGGACTATGTAAATCAGGAATCAGTGTGAGGCACTTCAGTCTGTGGTGGCTTAGCAGATGATATTTAGAAAAAGAAAGCCTCTTTTCTCTCTCTTTTTTTTTTTTTTTATTAATAATCCATAAACTGGTAGACGAGAATGTTTGGGCTTTAACAGCTTAAAAAAATCACAATGGTTGAAAAAAAAGAGAAGGCAATCACCCCCTTTTACATGAAAATTAGTTGTGCTGCATCTTTCTGTTTAACTGATTTAGTCTCCTCTACTGTCATGTGTCTGGAATGTTAAGCAGCAAGTGATTAGCCCTTGTCCTTTAAAGCAGGAT